AATGAAAATTAATAAAAGACAAGTTAGTGAAGAATTTTTTTGTTTTGACAAATTTTAAAAAAGTTGTACAATAACAATCAACAAAATATTATATATGTTCGTCAGTGGTTAATGGGTCAGTACAAGGTCAATAGAGTCACAAGGTGATAACGTCTAGAAGGTCATAAATGATCGCTTATAGGATTATAATAAATAAACAAAGAAATCAACAAATTATCTTCAAGAGATTAGGATCAAGGTAAAACTTAAGACTGAATACATCTATTCTGAACACAAAGATCAGGTTTGTAGTGCTGGATTGCTAAAGTCTCTGATATGTTGAGGTGGCGAGTATCCACTCCTTTCGAAATGTTTGACTTCACTTTAAAGATGACCTCGAGAGAAGACTGTCGTGGTTCCAGTGACCAGAGGTAACCAAATCGTCAATAAAATCATGCTATTGTTGGGTTTATCGATCATGCAAACCGATGCAGACCGACATTGAAATTTATGGAATTGAGGAGATCACTGCTAACTGAACAACGCATTTCAAATTTCCTCATTTCTTGAGATAAGAATCTTCCACAGTGAGTACTACTGTTCAAATATCTTGCAGATTACATCTTAAACTGGGCACTAAAATAATTTCGACTTAAATAGCAAATCAATCATCTTTTTTTCATTGTAGAGAGATTTTGCAATGGACTGATTCATTTAAAAGTATTCATTATAAACCGATTTCAGAGAGAGAACCCCTATGAAACCAGAGAAAACTTTACACCTATTTCCGCCTTGGATGGTACCTTGTAATAGCACCTCATTTTAAGGTTCTGATAGGTAGGGCTGACCGCTGATATCAGTTAAGTTGAGTGTGACATTATTTATTAATCGATAAAATCAGACTGAAATTAGGTTATGCCACGAAAGGACAGTAGCTGAGAACATATAAGCCATTGGATTCTGATTTGTTGTTTTAACAGTAATGTACTCACCACGAAACTTGATGACTTTGTACTCCTGAGTTGTTCAAAAGGAAGACAAAACAGTTGCTGAAAGTTTCTTGGTTCTCAATTGTTCTCAAATGAATGTCAGTCTTTGATGGGTACTCTAGAATTTTGAGCATCACAAAAAATATTTACAGGTTATGCTGATGACTTCTGAAGGGTACGAAATTTAGTTGTGCAGTCTTTTACGAAGCACATTTAATTACCCAACTAATTAATTAACAACCTTCCTGTTATTAGTTACTTTTTTAAGTTACTTGGATTCCTGATATACAAGTATGAATTACATTTTGAAAGTCTAAATTACATTTATATTTTATCGGATCAAGAGTATTCGTCAAGTGTCATATATCTCCAGCTACATAAAAGGATAAAGTGCTGATTGGTTTTAGTTCAACATGACTAAAACCAACTTCAAAAACTCCCAACTATTCTGGTTTTCTAGGTCTTCCCCATTTTTTCAGACCGACCAGACGCTACCACCCATGGGCCGACTTCTATCTAAATGCATATGAATGAAAACGGTGTACACAACAGACTATTCACTCGTGCTAACGGGGATGATCCAAAAGTCTCTCCTTATCTGTCCTCAACCCGCCAAGGTCTACTGTATCTTGCACTTATTACCTTGTTATTACCAACCCCCTTCCCACCGCAGTTAAACGACAGTAACCGGGCATTTCAGCCCTTACTATATGTGTGGTTAGCAGACTATTGGTCATTTTCAGGAGTCAGTCAGCGATTGCTTCCGAAGACCCATTCCTCAGTCAGAAGCAATGGTGAAACAAATATTGATTTGAGTGTTCGATAACGGCCGCCGATGGAGTGACTTTGCACTAGCATAACTAATATCAGCCTCAATAACCCTCTGCCATATTTAACTCGGTAAATGACTGTCTCCTAATTAACATTGTCCTATGTCTCCATTTTCGCCTGAAAGTTAGTTGATTTTTTAGTGTTCCTTTTTAAACCGTAGAGTTATGTGGTTTCTCAGCATCCTTTCTTACTGTTGCCTTGGATTTGAAAATTGCAGTTCGCCTACCAGTGACCTTGAGCAGCCTGTCAACATTGTGTATAAAATCAACGAACAGTGTGATGAATACATTTTGTTAATTGGATGCAGGGCATCAAAAGACCTAGGATTCGTGCTTGTTGGCACTTATCAGCAGAGTGTATCTGCATCCTCGATGGAACTGGTGTTACGACTGAAGTTTGAACAGGGGTCACTCAACGCTACAACTAGAGATGTTGTCACTGAGCTATTCGGGGTTCGATCAACCTCCTGTAGGACTGGAATGGATTCATTGGGTAGTTACCGTAGGGTAACCAACTTCATGTTGTCTATTCTTGTGTGCTAACTGGATTCTAACGGTCATTTTGCACTGCGGCCATATTTTGTTTGGTGATAGTTTTGTATTTTCCAAGAGAGTAATAAAGCTTAAGCGTCCGAGATGGATCCAAACACAATTTCAGATAGCATCAGAACTGAAATGTTTAACACACTTTTGGCTGAACAACTTCAAAAATGTTTTTTCCCAGTGTCTTGGGTAATTCGAAAACTGAGAACTTCTCCCTTTTTCTAGACACTTTGAGTTTAAACAGTGTGCGATGCTTACTTTGCGCTGATGTGAATTTGTCAAGTTCTGAAAAGTGGTTCTAATCAAACATCGGAAGATTAATTCTGTTGAGGTAATGCTGATCTCAAGAACCACACGTTTAAATCAAACTATATTATTGAGCAGTGCTTGTTGAACCGTGTGTGAACATCATAAATCAGTTACCTTACTGGTGGCGTTATCGAAGCTGTAATCAGAAACTATGACATATGGTATAACACTGACTTCTGTCTGTCGTAAGATTCCCCTGAGGATAGCTAACTTCTGACAAATTTATTCCCTTTATAAAATTGAGTTTAATTCAACCAATATTTGTGTTTCCATAGAAATTATAACCCAACACCTACGGCTTCAAATGCTAGAAAATTATCAACTAGGCCGGTGAGTAGTGGTAGCCACAAGGCATGCGTTACTCTTTTGTTTGGGAATACCAACATGAATGTTAGTACGTTCAGCTGAACAGTTTAAGTAGGGCAAGAACATATTGGTCACTACTGACTGCATAACTTAAATCGAACTAAAGTGAGTAAAATTTGGGCACTATGGTAGAGAATAATTCCGTATGAGATTGCTTATTCGATAAGTGACACAGTATAATTTACTGAATGACTTTTAGGGATGAATTTATTCCTCATATTCATGTCAAAGTAATCATATGACTTTCAAACTTTCTTCATATAGTCCAACAATTATTCATTCTTTTATTTTAATGTTGTGAAAAATTTCCATCTATCTGTAATGCGTGATCCATCACTCCTGTAAGTTATCGATTAACTGAGAAAAGTTTCTGTGGTGAATCTCTTCCTCCACTTACCTATATTGGATTTTAGAATTGTTACCTTATCCCTCTGTATAATGTGATTATGAGTCAGTGTACACAGAATGATGACCGAGTTTTTCTTTAAATGACTTATCTTAGTAGGGTCTTTCTTTGTATGTTTCACTAAATGTTTGCATTTTGATATTCTGACTGACCTAGATCGGCTACTTTAACCTATATATTTGACTTTACAGTCACTGTGTGGTATTTGATAGATCAGGTTATTCCCCTCAGTTGTCTATTCTGGGTCTTTTAGCCTACTAAGTTTATCTCTAATTGTGTTTTGTGGGTTTGAATGCGACCCTAATCCAAGCATTGTCAAAAATTCCGTGAAAAGTTACCAATGTGCCTTGTTTATACCCCAACATTACAGAAGATTTGGACTCCTTTCCAGACACGTTGCAATTACCTCTGATACTGTCGCTCCTTGTCGTTTTACTCCTTATAAGCAATTTAATAAATTCAGGGATATAATTGTTAAGCAGTAGTGTCTCTTTATTGTGTTTTAGTTCCTTATTTACACTTTCTCACTTCCTAAGCGAACTCCTGGTCCGATTACCCAGGTATTTTATCAACCCTACCTCGATGGATGTAGGGTGAGATGATGTGAAATCCAAGTATCTATTCTAATTTCCTATAAACACTGGTATCTAAGCTTCCATCTTCTTCCCTCTTTATTCTGCCATCCAACACAGGTAATTCTCCCTATTCATTTTCCATTTCGAAGATATTGGGGATTCTACTGCTTCCCTATCTGATTGGTTATATATTTTGTCTTGTACTTTGAAGACCATGAAAATTAGATACAGTCGAATCCTGAACATGAATTCCTCAATCGAAACTTTAGTCCTACTACTGATTTCTTGGTCACTGATGATTTTATTTCTATTAGTCTATTTGTATATAGGCTGGTTGCATAAAAACTGACCAATTTTTTTCCCTCCTCTAATTATGTGTTATTTAGCCTTTCTTTCAATTCAAATGAGTTGGTGAGCGATTTCTAGTAGAAAATAGTATACCAGCTGAATGTCTAGATAACTCGTATGTTGGTGTGTTTCTAAAGTTAACTACCGGTTGAATAAAATAACCTGATTTATCTATCCTAATGATACCATGGGTTCCATTAGGATTATTAGTTTTAGGCATTAAATTAATCCACTGAAACTCACACAGAGATGGATTTTTCGGCGTATTAGACCAGTTGTAACCGGTTTGCTCTTATTTATAACTGTACCTGAAGACTTTTTAGTCTAATCATATGGTCCTGTCTCAATATGTCCTACTGACCTTTCTTAAGTAACTACTGTCGTGTTGCCTTTGTGAGATTTGGCATTTCCTATACTACAGTTATTTCTTAAATTTCCCAATGTGAACATTTCTGGCCTCGCCAAATTCTTCACTCTTTTCTTTCACTCTTTTAGTGTTAATGCACACTGTACAAGCACTTGATCGTCAGTTGTGTTATCTGCTGTGCCCAATGCTACTTCTACGCTAGGTATAACATCTTCAGGTTTGAATTGGTCTAGTACTACACTGACGCTTACAGCCATTACCAAGGTATCCTTAAGAGGAACCCAAATGTAACGAACTACCGATTTATACAGCCTTCTCAATCAACAGCGGGGAAGATTACAACTTTGAGTCACAAACTGACGTTAAAAACATCGACAGCAAGGAATGATCTTGAATAAGTAGTAATTTGGTATAATATACAATGATATGGCTTGTGCAAAAACATTTAAAATTACAACAAATATGAATCCAACCAAAAACACTGAATCCCTCATTATATTAACAGTAATAATAATAATGATGGTGGTAATAATTGTAATGACAGTGATTGCGATGAGGTAGACGAATAAATTAATCGATAAGAGCTACGGAGAGTTTCGGTAGAATATTTTAACAAATTTTATTTACCTACTTTGAATAATTAATAAGTAGTATGACCAAATTGACCAAATTTTGGCTACTGAGACAATCATGTGTCCTCAAGCTTAACTTAGGTATGAAATAAAGATTAAAAAAAAGTGAACCAGTTATATATATGCGGTAAAATTATCATATATGTATGCATGTGTGCGTCTGTACAAAATTCATCAATAAACAGAAATAAAACCAGTGAAACAAGTCATAGAAAGAAGAAAGAAAATGAAGATTAGAGGCTTAGTTCACATCTCATCCGGCAAGCACTTCATATATATCAGCATATTTTTCGATTCATGTTCCATATTGGTAGAGAAACAACGACAATTTATCCTTATTTTTCTTACTTGTTCAACATACTTTTTGATTAAACTTAATCTGAATAAGGATTTATTGGTAATTTATAGTGATATGAATTTATATCATACTGAATTTGTGAATTTTGTGCTGTAAATTTACGGTTATTTTGCATCTTCTCCTTTCGTTTACGTTCACGACGTTTCATTTTACGGGAATTTTGTTTTGTAGTTCGCTTATTTCATTTAAATACGTATTTTGTGCATCATCTGATAACCTTGTGTTTGAATTTGGCTCTAAATTCAAATTGTTTAAATACTCAAAGTTACTAGAAATATTTTGATAATTAGATTTTCTTAATGTTTGAGTTGGATAAGGAGGAAAATCATCCGCGTTACCATGATTATTGATCATATCATAGTTTGACATCGAAGTGAGTTGTTTTGTGGGGGTTTTCAATGATCTATGCGTCTTTGAATTGTAAGAAGTTATCTGATTCTCGCCTTCTTCATAGGTAGGCGAATCTGAAAGCTCTGATGGTGCTGAACGCAGAATTTTCAATGGTCTACCAGGATGGTTATATTGTATGGCTTGTGGTTGAATGGCAACGGACAAGTTAGCTTGATTTTTATTACATAAGTGTGCAACTGGTTCTTTGCGAATTGCATTTAAAGATTGTCGAAACTCACCTGATTCTCGGTTCCATAATCCTAAAAAGGTAACCTGGAATGCATACAAGACAAATGAGTGGTTTACACCTTAGCAAAGCAACAAGGGAAATTATTAATCATGAGAGTGTTTTATGTATCTCTTAGAGGCTATGTTGTATCTTTGACCTAAATGTATGTGTAACAGTTCTGCGTAAGAGGTTTTCACACATAGGTCTGAAATCGTGTGAACTCACCCTAAATAAAACACAGAGATCCTTTATGATCCAAATTAGCTGTGACTGACTGGTATAATGAATGGAATCGTCTAACTTGATGTGGAAAATTTTAACCTGACCAATATCATTTAAATAAGGCATCATTTCACGAGAGATGAACTGTCTTTCTTAATTCCCCAAGTGACGGAAGTTAGTCAGCCTGAAGGACTAAGAATGGACACCTGAATATCAACAGGACTTGAACCAGTAGTCTGTAGCTTAGGAACCCGGTGAGCTACCGATTGAGCAACGAGACTCAGCTGCTAAGGATGCTATCAGACACTACCTTTTTTGATAGCAACTGGAACTCGTAACTCAGTTGGTGGAATGCCAGCTCAGCAATTTGGAGGCTTCAGACTCGAGTCCTGCCACAACCTAGGCTTTCGTCTTACCTCCAGTCGTCAGCATCAGCAGATGGCAACAACCTGGAGACCACTGCAAACTGAAAAGCATTGAACAGCTGCTTCTTCGTGACTTGAGATTCGTCAATAATCTGAAACCATGACCCTCTACAAGATCTAATATTTAATAGTGAAGTCTGCTTGGAAAATATGCTGTTATTCAGTCACAGAATTCGAATCTATCAGTCTGCAACTTTAAGTTTACGATAACATTGTAGAATGGCATAATATTGAACCGGTTTCATCGTTTCGTATTTGTCTCCTTTTCCCACTTATTAGCTTTCCATTATGTATTAACAAAACCCATCTTGTAGTCAGTTCGTAATGAGCATTGATATATTACTGAAATAAATCAGCTGTTAGATGTTGACTGATCTCAAATTAGGAGCCAGAATGATCAAGTCAATAAAGAAGATAGATGCTGGCGGAAAGCACTAGAAGATGACGGCAGTATGTAGGCAGTTGGAGTTCCCTCCTGCCTAGCTTGAAACTTGATGGTTGCATGGCTAATCCTATAAATATCGGGTCATGGATGAGCATGTGGTGTAAAACAGCTTATTGAAATAGGAAAAAATGATTTCTGGTTTCCAGTTGTTCTCCCTAACTTACGTCACTTCCTGGTGAATGTTAACTGGCAACTTTTGAGAAATATTGACAAATAATTGAAGGATGGATGAAGTCATCACGACCAAAATACACTTGCTCTGATAAACTGCATGAGACAGAGAGGAAAAAAGTGTGTCTACACTGAGAGACATTATTCGTGGAGGCAACTTGAAACCAGCTATGAAATTCCTTGGTATAGACAAAGACTAAGACAAAATATCGACAAATTTTCTATCGACTAGTCATGCAATGCAGGCAAGTTAACAGTTCTCTAGAATACAGTCTAATCTATTTCTGTATATGATCAACTTCTGTCTACTTATATGTCCAGTGAACATGTTTGTGTTTATTGGCAGCATATTTATGACTTTTGTTTTCCTTTGGTTTAATTTTCGGTGGAATAACCTTTCCTTCATCACAGTTGTCTTTCAAGTCGACTTGTACTAATCACTTGTCTATCTACCTTACTATTTGTCTGCGTAGTCGCTTTCCTCTAGCTACCTGACCTATCAAGTAAGGCCACCACAATCACCAACACTCTTTTTTCCAACATCTCCCCCTCCTACTGGCTCTCAACTGGCATTTCACGCATGCTCTGACTAACTCTCCAACTGGTTTTCTAGGGGTAGTATAAAGGCAAACAAGAAAAATTACTTTCTTCTCTCTTTTTACATAAATGTCACACTGTATGCGTGTTCGTGTGTGTGTATGAGTTTTTTCATCTATACACTTGAATGAATAATCATAATAATACACGGAATAAACAAACAATTGTAGAGTTATTATCGATCACAACTTTTAATGTCTGATGCGGGTTTCAAGATTAGTAAATGTGAGAATGCCGTTTTTCTGTCTGAGGGGATAGAAATGTCTAATATTCCTAGCTAGTACCATGAAAAGAAGGCTGCCAGTACTGTCAAAACACCAATCCTTGAGGGAACTTACTAACTACCCTTCTCTTCCTGTCAGAGATTTGAACTCAACCCAGTCACCGCTCCAGCTGGAGGTGCACAGTTATCTTACAGTGAGCACACAGATCCCGATGACAAACTATTCAGTCTCTAATAAATAGTTAAAACACATCAATGCATATTAGAAAGATTACTAGCTAAGAGTAGGGACTCTTTTAGTCTGTTGATGAGAGCAATCATATGCGAAACGCAGATCAAAGAAGCTACATACCGATTACCTCTATCCTTCAGACACCAAAAGCAGGTGTTCAGGTGTTCAAAATTTTTGGAATTAACTTGTTAGGTTTTCAAGTTGTTATTCATCGAAGACTGACATCAGTTGGAGGAATAAAGGAAACCTGGGAGCACTGGACAGCTGTTTCGTCCTGGCCGCGGGACCTGAAGGTCACGGGTTCGATCCCTGCTGGTGGGGTCGTGGGTGCGCACTGCTGAGGAGTCCCATACTAGGACGAAACAGCTGTCCAGTGCTCCCAGGTTTCCTTTGTTCCTCCAACTGATGTCAGTCTTCGATGAATAACAACTTGAAATATTTCCAAATCTCCACAACCCCCTCAAAAATTTAATTGTTAGGTTTTGTTGATTAACGCTTAAAAAGCAGATTATTTTTAATTGTCTGTATCTAATAGTGAATAGATGTCCAGTTGTTGTGCAGTTATTATTAAGAAGAGGTTAAAAAAGAGTGAAATTGTTCTTCCCGAATTTCAGTCCAAAAAGAATTATGAAATTTTATTTTACTCCGTTTATTAGATATGTCACACAGTGAAACACACATACGTCTAATAAAGAGACGAAAATGGGGTCGAAATCAACCACAGTGCCCAACTTTTACTCCCATATTAAAGAATTACGAAAGACTGTAGTCGAAGTGGCTAAGAACATTGAACTGTCTGTATTTTTATCATCAAACTTGTTGAATAATCAGAACTCTCAGAATTGTTGAGGATCTTCATCACATCTCCATGACCACACCTAATCAGTCAACACTTCCTTATACGGCTAGAACAAACAGCTGGAGAATTCATGGAGTGGCAAAATATCACGTTTTAGGCAGCCTAAATTTTCTCTCAGTCTGTTAGCATCACAAATTGCAGAAGGCAGTGGCTTATTACGTGAAACATGTGCCTTCATCAATCTGATTGGTGAGTGTTCACGGTTTCATCCACTAGGTTATCTTCCTTACCTCATGCTCAAAGCAGAATTGAAAAATGCCCCACTGTCTGATTCCACAAAGGTACCTATGATCAAAGTTTGCAACTTTCTCATAGTTTATATTTGCGGTGAGCGTGCTGCATAGTTGCAGAGTAGGACAGAGAGGATTGCTGTACAGCACATTAACGCTGTTGAAAAGCTGAACTTTACAGTTTTTATATTAGGGATTTATGTCTTTTACCACTTATTTCGACGATATATCTGTGGTACATAACCGAGGGATAGGAACTGCGCAGCACAGATTTTGAGGAAGAATTTAAGGTGTCTATGTAAATAGCCGGTTACTAATTCAAAATTAGGCAACCATGCTATGAACAGTGGTTCTTCCTGAGGAACAACTTGTGAGAGAAAAGGCTTATTAGATGTGAATAATCAGTATTATGATCTTGTCACTGTTTACTCACTTTCATGAACCATGTCTAAAACGCGGTCACCAACCAAAGTAATTGCATTTTAACATACGCTGTATTTGTAGTCACCTGCTTGAAGGTGATAGGTAAAACTTCCGACCTAATTTAGGCCATAACGTCCATAATGGTCAGTCAGATTTAAAGGCAAGGTGTTATATTGATTTGTCTGTGTCTGAGACCATTAAGATCTTACATAATCGATCCGATTTCACCCAGTATTCCAGTGACTGGCAAAGTTATCAAGCAACATCGATTACAGGTGACCTCTTGCAGAAATGATGAAGTTATCTAATCGGTTACTGGATGATAACCAAAGTCGTATTGTCTCATTTACAGTTGCATTATTTCATTCATTAAAAAAGTTTTTAACTTATGACTCATTTGACAGATAATTTAGCTGTTTATTTTGTAGTTGAATTGAGCATACAAGGTGCTGAACCAGTGAATCGGAAAAGTCATGCGGCCCAGGCAGTTCCTTCTGGGGCTGAGGTATATATAGCATGATGTAGTTAGTTATAAAATCTTTAGATAAACGGAATATGACCTCTATCAATATCATCAACAGAAGGTCGGAAGATGAATAAAGTCGGTTAAAATCTGTAGCATATTCACCATACATATACCTTCAAGAGATCCTAACAGTTATTTGTGAATTCCTGCTTGAATTATTGTCTCAAGGCACTTATACCTACATAGCTTTATCCTTTTTCAGTGTATTGAGTTATGGTTCTCTCAATAACTTATGAATGACCAACAAAATAATGTCCTCTACGACAAATTTATAGGCCAATAGATCTCGTAGGGTAAACTGAAGGAGCTTAAAGCGTTGCCATTTCGGTAATCAATAAAAGCACACAAAAAATCAAGATCATAATGAGAAGCCATGCCCACCAAAGTCAACTAAGCGATCAGAATTGGAGGTCAAAAACTAATCCAGTCCTAAAGATTACGTTAATATAAGTGAAAAACTTGGGCACTGTGGTAGAATGTAGTTCCATATTAGATTTGTTTATTTGATATAAAGCGCACAGTGATACAGTATTATTTACTTGATTACGTTTCGAGCATAAATTATTGCTCATAATCATATCAATGTAATCACACTTCTTTCGACATCTGATTTTATAGTCCTGTCACCTGATCTCTCTTTGTTTTTTTGTTTTTTGATTGGTAGTAAAGTTTTCCATATCTCTGGTATAGG